CTGAATTTTCAATGATAAGAGCTAATAAATCCCCCCCCCCTTTTTTTTTTGCTTAAGCTAAACTGCACTGGATTTTTGTCACTTGCAAGTCAAAGTGTGTTAAATAATGTAGCTTCCCAATTGGCATTTACGCCCACATTACCATAAAATGGCTGCCTCTGACGACTCAAGAGAAAGGATTCAGTGAAATCTAATTGACCGATACCAGTAAGGGCACAAGAGGTTTGAAACAGCTGAGCAGAGATTTAGAGAACAAGAGGACAAGGTCATGACTGTACTTTTGACTTTGATGTTCTGAGTACTCACAATCATGACACTTCTATCACCGACTTTGACTGTTTACTGATTAGAACCACAGCTCAGACCAGACAGGAGCACTGGACTGACCAAGGGGCATGATGCCAGGAAGGTCATGAAAACCCAAGTTCCACTTTGAAGCAACATAGATCACACGTGCCTCGAACACAAAAGAGAAAGGAAGCGGCCACGTCAAGACATTAAAAGGGAGAAAATCCACAGAGTTTTTCCATGAGCTGCTAGTCATGCAGTTGTTACAACAGGTGCTCAGAAGTGTAAGACTGGTCTCTGCCTGAGGCTTTTTTGTCTGAGGGTTCAGTCAGCAACAGGAGCCCATTTTCCTTCAGCATTGTGTTGCTGTAACAGGTTGCAGTTTCAGAAATACCAGGACACTGGGTTCCAGCTGCCCAGGGGTTCTTTCTGGGAGATTTTCCATCTTCAAGATGGAATTGCCTTCTCCTTTTTCTGTGGACAAAAGAGCACAGCGTCCCATATGGGCACCAGTTCTAGTCCTGGCTGCTCCACTTTCGATCCAGCTCCTGCTAATGTGCCTAGGAAAGCAGAAGATGGCCCAGGTTTGGGCCCTTGCATCCATGTGGGAAACTCAGAAGAAGATCCTAGCTCCTGTCTTCAGAACGGCCCAGCTCCAGCTGTTGCAGCCATCTGGAGAGTCAACTGAAGAATGGAAGATCTCTCTGTCTCTATCTCTGTCTCTCTGTAACTCTTTTAAATAAAATTTAAAAATTAAAAAAAATTCTAAACTTTTCTTTAAAAATATAATTGTTGAAATTATCTGTTGTGGGGGCCAGTGCTGTGGTGCAGCAGGTTAACACCCTGGCCTGAGCGCCAGCATCCCATATGGGTACCGGTTCTAGTCCCAGCTGCTCCACTTCCCATCCAGCTTTCTGGTATGGCCTGGGAAAGCAGTAGAAGATCACCCAAGTCCTTGGGCCCCTGCACCCACATGGGAGACCTGAAAGAAGCTCCCATCTCCTGGCTTCACATCAGCGCATCTCTGGCCATTGCGGCCACGTGGGGAGTTGTCGCTCCCCCTCTTCGTGGAGGAACGACACAAGACCCTGCCTAGGCTTCCTATCCGAGTCACGGCACCATTATGTCGCTCCCTGTCTTCGTGGAGGAACGACACAGGACCCTGCGCTGTTCTTTTGTCTGCTCGGCCCTCCCCGGGTTTGCTGCTGGTTCTTCCAGGGTTGGCTACCGACCCTTCCACCTCCATGGAAGGGCGGTTCCCCCTGCCACTTTCTCCACTTCCGCGGGGGAGCGGCACACCGCCGGCCGGCTCTCTCGGGGGCTGCTCAGATGTTCCTCAGGTGTTCCTCGTGCATGTTGTCTCTCTCCTCCTTTATAGTCCTCTTCCACCAATCCCAACTCTGCTACCCACACGCCGAGTACGCTGCTCTCCTCCAATCAGGAGCAGGATCAGCTCCTGCAGGTCATCACTCAAGTTGGCGAGAGGCAGCTGCGTAGAAGTTGTTACTCCCTTCTCAGCGCCATATTGTGGGAGAGCAGATGCATAGAATAAGTCTTAATTCCAGTAACAGTCTAGTCCGAGTTGCTCCCCACAGGGAGTGAACCAGCAGATGGAAGACATCTCTCTCTAACTCTCTCTGCCTCTCCTCTCTCTAACTCTGACTTTCAAATAAATAAATCAATCAAAAAAGAAAGTATCTGTTGTGAGGTTTTAGATAAAAGACAAGAAAATGGAATGCTGCCTATATAACTTTATTTATTTATTTATTTGAAAGGCAGAATTATAGAGAGGCAGAGAGAGAGAGAGAGAAAGGCTTTCCATCCACTGGATCACTCCCCAGATAGCTGCCACGGCCAGTGCTGAGCCAATCTGAAGCCAGGAGCCAGGAATTCTTCTGGTTTCCCATGCAGGGGCCCAAGTACTCGGCCATCTTCTACTGCTTTCCCAGGCCACAGCAGAGGGCTGGATTAGAAATGGAGCAGCCAGGGCTCAAACCGGTGCCTGCAGCGCCAGCTCTACCTGCTATGTCACAGCACCGGCCTTTACATATATAACTTTTAAAAGCATGTTTATACAGACAGCAGATTGGGGCCAGTGCCAAGGCATAGAGAGTTAAGCCTCCACCTGTGGTACTGGCATCCCATATGGGTATTGGTTTGAGTCCTGGCTGCTCCACTTCCGATTCAGCACCCTGCTAATGTGTCTAGGAAAGCAGCGGAAGATGGCCCAAGTCCTTGGGCCCTTGCACCCATGTGGGAGATCCAGAAGAAGCTCCTGGCTCCTGCCTTTGGCCTGGCCCAACCCCAGATTGCTGTGGCCATTTGGGGAGTGCGCCAGTGGATGGAAGATTGTTCTCTGTCCTTCTTTCTCTGTATCTCTCAAAAAAAGATAGATTCCTCTCTATCTTTCAAAATTAATAAATCTTAAAATAATATATATTTATCTCAAATTGATTGATTATAGAAGGCTATTTTTAAAATTTTATTTGAGAGGCACAGCAGGTTAAGCCACTGCCTGCGACGCTGGCATTCTACAGGCACACCAGTTCAAGTCCCAGCTGTTCCACTTCCAATCCAGCTCGCTTCTGACACACCTGGAAAGGTAGCAGAAGATGGTTCATGTGCTTGGGTCCCTGTCATCCATGTGGGAGACCCAGCTGGAGTTCTAGAGGATGGGGAATAAACCAGTGGATGGAAGAGCTCTCTCTCCCTCTCTGTAACTCAACAATTCAAATAAATAAATATATCTTTAAAATTAAAATAAAAAATTATTTGAAAGGCAGAAAGAGAGAGATATAAATACAGACCAACAGAGACCTTCAGTTCTCTGATTCACTCCTCAAGCACTTGGCAACAGCCAGGGGGCTAGGCCAATTCTAAGTCAGGAGACAGGAACTCAGTCCATGTCTCCACGTGGGTAGCAAGGATCTACTTGAGCTATCACCGACTGCCTCTGAGTGCTCATTAGTAGGAAGCTAGAATCAGAAGTGGAGTCAGAACTTAACCAGGCACTCCAATGGGATGGGGGTGTCCTAAGTGGCATATAAACCACCATGCAAATAACCTATTCCAAGAAGGCTATTTTTTAAGTATTTTATTTAGGTTTCCTGCAACATATCAACAGTTGACTGTGTAATTCAATAAATAAATTGGTAGATTCTGATCACTGTGCAATGTTTCTTTCTATTCCAGAATCTCCTACGAAGCAGCAGGAAGTTGGCTGGGACCCTAAACCAGTGCTACCACATGGAGTTGGTGCAGCACACTGCAACTGTGGCAAGCAGCCGAGTGCTAAGTTTCTTGCATTCAGTGCATATCTCAGCCCTGGACTTAGCTCACTGACTGCACCTGCCAGTCAGCTTCATTTGTTAATGCCATATGAGCACCTAAGGTCAGCACTGTATCGAGTTTTATAACTTTGTATCCCAGCTCCTGGCTAATACATAATACAAACTCCGTAAATGTTTGCTGAGCAAAGAATGCAAGCTTAACTGGCCAAAGAGAAGGAACAGCCCTTTTTCTGTAATATATTAGACTTTCACTGTGGTTAGTTTTTGTGCAAAATGCAGACTTGTAGTTTTTTTAATAGGTGTTAAGGGTATAAAATAATCTCTTTCTAACATTGCTACATGAAGTACCTTGTCCAGAGTAATTAGATTACGTTGATTTACTTCATAAGAACCTCAGTTATGGATCTCCATTAACAAGAAATTTAATCATTACATTTACTGGCTGCTGGATAGTAAATCATTAGCCCGCTAAGAAGTAATTGCAGTGCGTATAGTAGTGCAGCAGGTGAAGCCACTACTTGGGACACCCGCATCCCATAGCAGAGTGCTGGTTTGAGTCCTGGTTCCAATTCAGCTTCCTGATAACACACACCCTAGAAGGCAGAAGATGATTATTCAAGTGCTTGGGTCCATACCACTCACATGAGAGATCCAGAGGAAATCTCTGGCTCCTGGCTTTGAGGTGGCCCGGCTTTGGCTACTGCAGGCATGGGGGTGGGGGGGGGGATGAACCAGCAGATGAAAGCTCACTCTCTCTCTCTCTCTGCCTTTCAAGTAGATGAAAATAAATACTTTTATTTTTTTAAAGAATTATTTTATTTTATTTGAAAGAGAGCCACAGAGATAGATAGAGCCAGAGAAAGAGAGAGAGAGAGAGAGAGAGAGAGAGAGGTCTTCCATTTCACTGGTTCACTCCCCAAATGACCACAACAGCCAGAGCTGAGCTGATCCGAAGCAAGGAGTCAGGAGCTTCTTCCAGGTCTCCCATGTGGGTGCAGGGGTCCAAGGACTTGGGCCATCTTCTACTGCTTCCCCAGGCCATAGTAAAGAGCCGAATAGGAAGTAGAGCAGCCAGGACTTGAACCGGTGCCCATATGGGATGCCGGCGCTGCAGGCTGGGGCTTTAACCCACTGCACCACAGCTGCAGCCTCAATACTTTTTAAAAAACAGTACATAGGGCCAGCTCTCTGCTATGGCCAGAAAGTGCAGTGGAGGATGGCCCAAGTGCTTGGGCCCTGCACCCCATGGGAGACCAGGAGAAGCACCTGGCTCCTGCCTTCAGGTCAGCGCGGTGCGCTGGCTGCAGCACACCGGCCGCGGCGGCCATTGGAGGGTGAACCAACGGCAAAAGGAAGACCTTTCTCTCTGTCTCTCTCTCTCACTGTCCACTCTGCCTGTCAAAAAAAAAAAACAAACAAAAACAAAACAGTACATAGATTTATTAAACTTAGTAAAACCATCTTCCCTGCAGAACAACAGAACAAACAATTCATCTAACTGTATCAAGGAATCACAGACCGTTTTTTAAAAATGTCAGGAAAGGGGCCAGCACTGTGGCAGAGCCAATAAAGCCACCGCCTGCAGCACCAGCATCCCATATGAGTGCTGGTTTGAGTCCCAACTGCTCCACTTCCAATCCAGCTCCCTGCTAATAAGCCTGGGAAATCAGTGGAAGATGGCCCAAGTGCTCAAGACCCTGCACCCGTATGGGTGCCTGCCTTCGGCCTGGCCCAGCCCCGTGTTGTTGCAGCCGTTTGGGGAGTGAACCAGAGGATGAAGACCTCTCTCTCTTTTTCTCTCTACTTCTCTGTAACTCTGTATTTCAAGTAAATAAAATAAATCTTTAAAAATTTTTATTTCACATTTTTGCCAAACTCTCTGCACTGGTGAGTCCTGAAGTACTCTGATCATCACACCCCAGCCTGCTAAGTGCACAGTTAGCCCCTGGACTCCAGTTGGAGTTGGACTTTCAGTTTAGCATTAGCTGTGTGAGGCCACCAGATGCCAAAAGTTAAATTATCACTCAAAGATACATGATACTGAAGTTCCTTTTATGCATTTATAATTCTAAACATGCTTGCAGTGTCATGAAACTAGTTTGCCAGTGTGTGGTTGCCAACACGTCTATGCCCAAGCCATTGAGATTACTATCCAGAGTTTCTGTTTCCATGGAAGTAACCATGGAGAATCATTACTTTAGGGCCTTTGTGGTTTTTCAGAATACAGAGGAAATTCAGAGAGACAAGTCAAACATGTATGTTCTTCCTCCAATGCTCTCACATCGATCAGCAAATAAACTACAATGGAAGATACAGGTCTTTGGGCATTTCTTCCCCAGATTCTGTTCCTGTCTCTTTAAGCCACCATGTTTTTCTACAACATTGAGGCTTTTAATGCTTCTTGGACTTTGAGTAACTTCCGCAGTGCAGGTGAAAAACAGTCATGCAGTAGATGGAAAAGCTGAGACTGAGAGTTCCTTCAAATTTAGCAGAAGAAATGTGGCCCTGAACAGAACACATTCACTTCCTGAGACACTCATTTCTCAAGTGTGAGTCACACCTGTGGCTTTGACCAAGTTCTCTTGATTTTAACTCCTTAATCACTCTCATGTCAGTCTCTCTTCCTTGTGTTCCCTGTTGCATTGCTTTAGCTCAGGCTCCCATCATGATTTCCCATATAAAATCACTTCATTAGCCTTCAGTCTGCACTTTCTCTGTAATGTGGCTGACCGCTCTTCAAATCAGTTCCACACTGTAGGATGATCTCTTCAAAGACACATCTGAAGGGGATGGTGGGGGCACATGGAGAGAAGATGGTTAACAGGTACCAGGTTGCAGTTGGGCAGAAGGAATATTCTCTTTATTTTTTTTTAAGATTTATTTATTTATTTGAAAGACAGAGGCAGAAAGAAAGAGAAAGGCCTTCCATCCACTGGTTCATTCCCCAGATGGCCTCAAAGGCCGGAGCTGCGCTGATCCAAAGCCAGGAACTTCTTCTGGGTTTCCCACGAGGGTGCAGGAGTTCAAAGACTTGGGTCAACTTCTGCTGCTTTTCCAGGCCATAGCAGAGAGCTGGATTGGAAGTGGAGCAGCCGGGACTAGAACCGGCGCCCTATGGGATGCCGGCACTGCAGGTGGGAGCTTTACCCACTATGCCACAGCGCCAGCCCCGAGGAGGAATATTCTATGAATTTACTTATTTGAGAGACATAAAAAGAGAGCTCCCATCTGCTAATTCACTCCCCAAATGCCCATAACAGCCCCTGGTGGGGGCCAAAACTGGAATTCAATCCAGGTCTCCATGTGGGTGACAGGTCCCAATTAGTTGAGCCATCACTGCTGCCTCCCAGAATCTTCTTTGGCAGGAAGCTGAAGTCAGCAGCCAGAGTCAGCATCAAACTAAGATACTCCGATGTGGATGTGGGTATCTCACCACTATGATAAACACCTACTCCCAGGATGAATAACTTCTAGTGTTCTATAGCACAGTAGGATAACTGTGGTTGACAACATTAAAATGGCTATTTCAAACTTAGTAGTGGAGAAGATTTTGAATGTTCCTAACACAAAGAAATGACAAATATCTGAGGTGTTAGATATTCCACTTACCCTGATCTGATCATCACACATTGTATACATACAAGTATTGAAATGCCACATAGTACCCAATAAACATACAACTACTGTGTCTATAAAAAATAAAAATTACATTTAAAATATAAAATAAAATTATATCTGATATTATAACTCTTTTTTTAATCATAATAATACTCCATTCTTTTTAGAATCAAGTATTTACTTCCCAAGCTCTACAACTAAACCACTTGGCCTTCCTCTACTCATTATATGCTCTTAAGCCTCTCTGTACTTACAGACTCCTACTACATTTTCAAAATTCATCTGACACATCATTTCTCTGCTACCCAGTCTGAATTACATGCTCAACCAATGTGTATACTCCCACGGTATCCCACGCTTGCTTCTATCAATAGTACCCAACACATAGCAATGTGATTTCACTATTATCTACTGTAAGCTTATTCAGATTGAGAATTTTGTCTTTCCTATCTGTGGTTTTTTTGGGGAGGTTTAGCATAGGCTCTAGAAAATAATAAGTGTCCAGTAAATATTTGTTCAATAAATGCCACATCATTTCACATGTCCACTCTTAGGTACCTCCAATCTGCATGCATAAATTTTAATTAATATTCATAATGCAAAGAGACAGAGACAGAGCTGGAAGCCAGAAACTCAATCTAGTTCTCCTACATGAGTGGCAAACTTGCTGCCTCTCAGGGTGTATATTGGCAGGAAGCAGGAATTGGAAGCTACAGCTGGGAATCAAACCCAGGCACTCTGACAAGACAGGTGTCTCCAGCAGCATCTTAACCACGGCACCAAATGCCCACCGTTGTTTAATTTCTTGTCTGCCTCCTTCCCAGTAGAAAGTAAGCTCTGTGAGGGCGGAAATTGCTGTTATTCATGGCCACACCTCATTATGTATCATACAGTCTAGGACTTGGTAGGCTCTCACTTATGTTTCTCAGATGAACAAGCGAGCAGCTTTCCAAGGGTTCACTTATGCTTCTGGATATGTGCCAGGCTATTTTCCATGACTGCCACGACATTCCTCTGTGTTCAGGTGGGGAGATCCAACTCAGCCTCCAAAACTCAACCCAAGAACCCTCTCTTCTGTGAGGCGCTCCCCAGCCCTGGGCAGACTGAGGGTCCCTCTTATCACTGCCCCCAGTGTGCGTGTGCTCCTGATGGGGCTCGTGGTATCGTTTGTTGTAATCTGTGAGGCCCCCCAGGTTTTCATTCACCTTCTATTCCCAGTACCTTTGTCCCTGCCATAATATAGAAATCCCCCAAAAACAGTGAAAAAAGGGATGAATGCAAGAAAACAATCAATATGTAGGTTACTATGAACATATCAAAATATATAGAATATATCATTTAAATAATAAATGCTACTTAGAGATATTCCTTGTAAATCCCCTTTCACCTTAATACTTTTTATTACAGCCTACCCAAGATATACGAGTTAATAAGTAACAATATCCAAAGTCCAGGATCATTGCTTAGCAGCTAATGTAAAAAGCTGAGTTTGCTTTTACACTTCCTTTACATTATTTCAAAGGTTTTTGTTTGTTTTTACTATACCTGCTGTTTGGGCTTCTATATCCAAACTGAGTGAGTCTAGAGAGTATCACCATGGGAGCTAAAGACTGGGCAGGTTTTGTGAGCAAAGCATTGATGCCAAAAACCATGGAGGAAAAGAGTGGCCTAGAACAGACAAAAACAGGATGAGTCTGCATCACATACAATTACACATGTGTATATGTATGAATGTATGTATGTGTATAGTACATAAACATACAGTGTATGTGTATTAAGGACCTCTTCATCTATGAAGTCCTCCTTGACCCTGAAAAGGCAGTATTAGAAAGCATATAGTCGGGGCCAGCCCTCCGCCTGCGGCGCCAGCATCCCATGCCATATGGACGCCAGGTTCTAGACCCGGTTGCTCCTCTTCCAGTCCAGCTCTCTGCTATGGCCCGGGAGGGCAGTGGAGGATGGCCCAAGTGCTTGGGCCCCTGTATCCGCATGGGAGACCAGGAGGAAGCACCTGGCTCCTGGCTTCGGATCGGCACAGCACCGGCTGTGGCGGCCATTTGGGGAGTGAACTAACAGAAGGAAGACCTTTCTCTCTGTCTCTCCCTCTCACTGTTTATAACTCTACTTGTCAAAAAAAAAAAGAGTATAGTAATTTCTTTTCTTCAGGATTTAGTTATTTATTGAAAGGCAGAGTTACAGACAGAGAGAGGGAAAAACACAGAAAGAGAGGTCTTCCATCTGATGGCTCACTCCCCAAATGGCTGCAACAGCTGGGGTTGGGCCAATCTGAAGCCAGGAGCTTCTTCCAAGTGCCAGGGCCCAAGCACTTGGGCCATCTTCCACTGCTTCCCCAGGCCATAAGTAGAGAGCTGGACTGGAAGAGGTGTAGCCAGGACATGAACTAGAGCCCAATAAGGGATGCCAGTGCCACAGGCAGAGGCTTAACCTACTATGCCACAGTGCTGGGCCCAAAGAGTATAGTCATTATAAAACATTAACCCCTTTGTTGTAAGGGGATATAGAACCTGACTGTTAAATGAAGACATAGCCTGTCTCCTAAATGCCCACTAAGTGAGAGCTTTGTGTGCCCTAGACTGTATTAAATGTACAACCCAGACTGTTTCATTTCAGCCTCACAACAATCCCATGAAGGAGATGTCACCACCCCTACTTTAGAGATGGAAGAACAGATGAGCTCGTCCATGGTCACATGACTAGTAATAAGAGGCAAACTGGGATTCATGCCCAAGTCCTTCTGCCTGAATTTCATTCAGGGTTACTTGAATGTATTCCTAGTAAGAACCCTGCCGTAGAATTTTTTCTAAATAATCATGTCATATAAAATGAATAAAATGTATTTTTGATATATAACTTTTTTAAAATATTTTATTTATTTACTTGACAGGTAGAGTTACAGACAGTGAGAGAGGGAGAGAGAGGTCTTCCATCCAATGGTTCATTCCCCAAATGGCTGCAGTGGCCGGAGCTGCGCTGATCCAAAGCCAGGAGCCAGGTGCTTCTTCCCAGTCTCCCATGTGGGTGCAGGGGCCCAAGGACTTGGGCCATCTTCTACTGCTTTCCCAGGCCACAGCAGAGAGCTGGACTGGAAGAGGAGCAACCGGGACTAGAACGTGCACCCATATGAGATGCCAGCGCCACAGGCGGAGGATTAACCTAGTGTGCCATGGCACTGGCCCCAATATATGGCTTATTAATAAATGAGATCTTGTAGTCAATTAAAGATGGAAACTTTGCAACTAGGAAGATAAAAAGGAAATGGAAAAAGAGAAAAGAAAGGAAAGATGAGGTCAGAGAATTAGAGGAATTGGATTTGATGATAAGAATGTGAATTTTGGGCTGGTGTTGTTGTATAGCAGGTTCAAGTCCCTGCTGTTCCACTTCTGAATTAGCTCCCTGCTAATGCACCTGGGAAAGCAGTGGAGAACAGCCCAAGTGCTTGGGCCCCTGCACCCACGTGGGAGACCCAGAAGAAGCTCTTAGCCCCAGCCCCAGCCTTTGCAGCCATTTGGGGAGTGAACCAGTGGATGGATGACCTCTCTGTCTCTCCCTTTCTCTCTCTCTCTGTATCTCTGCTTTTCAGAGAAATAAATCTTCTAAAAAAAAAAAAAAAGAGTGTGAATTTCATTCTGCTGGTTACATTACCTAGGCAAAGTTAATCCCTGACAGGTCTTTGTTTACTGCAATTGGGGATAATGATGACTGTAAGATAATGTGATTGCTGTCTGTCTCCCCCGCTAGACTCTTAAGTGTCATGAGGGCAGAGACTTCATCTGTTTTTGCTCACTGCAGTAGAAAACCTGTCATTTTCATATGATCAAGGCAGTTACCTAAAGCCAATAATAATAATAATAATAATAATAATAATATTTTAAATGAAGAGACATTATTCTATTTTAATTTAACAATATTCATTCATCAATCTTTTCTCAGGGCTTTTCCTTTGAATATGGGTCAACCAATGAAAAGTGCTATGCCATCTCTCTTGTGTAAATAGTATCCTTATTATACAGTCTATAATTTCTATGTTCAGTTTTAGAGAGAACCTGAAGTTTAAAAAGCAATCTGAGTGGGGGCAGCATTGTGGTGCAATAGGTTAAGCTGCTGCCTGCAATGCGAGCATCCCAAATGGGTGTCTGTTCAAGTCCTGGCCGCTCCACTTCCAATCCAGCTCTCTGCTAACGCACCCGAGAAAACAGTGGAAGATGGCCCACGTCCTTAGGCCCCTGCATCCTCATGGGAGACATGGATGAAGCTCCTGGCTCCTGGTTTTGGACTGGTCCAGCTCCAGCCATTGTGGCAATTTGGGGAGTGAACCAGCAGATAGAAGAGGGAGGTCTTCCATTCACTGGCTCACTCCCCAGTTGGCTGCAAAAGCCAGAGCTGAGCCATTCCAAAGCCAGGAGTCAGGAGCTTCTTCTGGGTCTCCCACGTGGATGCAGGGGCCCAAGGACTTGGGCCATCCTCCACTGCTTTCCCAGGCACATTAGAGGGAACTAGATCGAAAGTGGAGCAGCTGGGACTCAAACTGGTACCCATATGGGATGCTGGGCTGTACTGCAGGGCATGGCTTTAACCTGCTGCACCACAGTGCCAGCCCCTCTTGCCTTTCAAATAAATGAAAATAAATCTTAAAAATAAATAAATAAATAAATAAATAAAAAGCAATCTGAGTAAAGAATACCTTTAGAATTTATGATTTTAACCAAAACATTTACAATTCTTACAAGTTTGAAGTAACTTTTTATTTTTTTAAAGATTTATTTATTTATTTGAAAAGCAGAGTTACAGAGAGGCAGAGGCAGAAAGAGAAAGAGAGGTCTTCCATCTGCTGGTTCACTCCCCAAATGGCTGTAATGGCTGAAGCTGGGCTGATCCAAAGCCAGGAGCCAGGAGCTTCTTTTGGGACTCCACACAGGTGCAGAGGCCCAAGGACTTGGGCCATCTTCTACTGCTTTCCCAGGCTATAGCAGAGAGCTGGATTGGAAGAGGAATAGCTGGGACTCAAACCGGTGCCCATATGGGATGCTGGCACTGTAGGCAGCAGCTGTACCTGCTATGCCATAGCACTGGCCCCTGAAGTAACTTTTTTTTTTTGACAGGCAGAGTGGACAGTGAGAGAGAGAGACAGAGAGAAAGGTCTTCCTTTGCCGTTGGTTCACCCTCCAGTGGCCGCCGCGGCCGGTGCGCTGCTGCCAGTGCACCGCGCTGATCCAATGGCAGGAGCCAGGTACTTATCCTGGTCTCCCATGGGGTGCAGAGCCCAAGGACTTGGGCCATCCTCCACTGCACTCCCTGGCCACAGCAGAGAGCTGGCCTGGAAGAGGGCAACCGGGACAGAATCCGGCACCCCGACCGGGACTAGACCCTGGTGTGCCAGCACCGCAAGGCGGAAGATTAGCCTAGTGAGCCGCGGCGCCAGCCCTGAAGTAACTTTTTAAGCAACTTTTCTTTATCAAGTCTAAATCATTCAACTTAGTTTTCATAGACATAACCCTCATTTCACACTTACATTTCCTAATTTTATAAAAGATAAAGGTAATCAAATCCCATGATTATAAAAAACAAGTACATCTGACATTAACAAATTTGAAACCTAAAAAACACTGACCCATGGGAAGGACACAATTGAATGGGTTGGGGGGAGGCACCAACATCCTCGATGCAGACCTCAGCCGTTCAGCCACGAACATTCAGTGTACTGAGTGCCTGAGTGTGAGTTAGAGGGACAGAGAGCGGTCAGGTACCTGCAGAGTGCGTTAGGAGTCCTGCTGTCTTGCTCCCCCAGCTTTCCCCACTTTGCCTGACACCCAGAAGACAGTGAATAAACACTTGTTAAGGCAATAATGTCTACCACCCAAGGCTGCTGTGGGGCTTGAATGAGCAAATAACCATGTGGTGCCCATACACATTGGCATTTGGCAAATGTCAGTTTCCAACTGTTTGAGATATTGTATTTATTTGAAACCCATCTTGTTCAAAAACAATTTGAGAGAGATAAGATGTTCACTGAAGCTACTTCTTGGTAACTTTATTCATTCAAAACAAACAAATGAAAAAGAAAAACAACCTGTTTTGAGCCAGTCACTTCTTTGGGCACAAGAGACACAAAAGGGAAGACATGTTCATGAGCCACAAGGAGCCCACTATTTTGCTCATCACTCCCAATATGACCCAGCCACAAAACCCTAAAACAGGAAAGAAATGATACAGAGGACATCAAGCAGCTGGCAGAGCTTTCCTCAGTCACATTATAAAAAAGGGCGGGGCGGGGGAATGGGGTGGCATTGAAGTGGCGCAGGTTAAGTCAACTCTTGCAAAGCCAGCATCCCATCTCAGAGTGCCAGTTTGAGTCCCAGCTGCTCCACTTCTGATCCAGCTCTGATGACTCCTGGCTTCAGCCTGGCCTAGCCCCAACCACTTAGACCATTTGGGAAGTGAACATGGAAGATGGAAGATTTCGATAGATAGATAGATAGAGATATAAAGATATATATATATATATATATATTTATATCTTCCTCCTTCTCTCTGTCACTCTGCCTTTTAAACAAATAAATCTTAAAAAAAAAAAGGAGGGGATGTGGGCCAGTAGGCACAGTAGTTCAAGCCACCCCTTTAGACTTTATCCCATATCAGAGTGCCTGGGTTTGAGTCCTGCCTGTGCTTCTGATCCAGCCCCTGCTAATGTACTTGGAAGGCAGCAGTGATGGCCCAAGTACTAGGGTCCCTGCCACCTATGTGGGAGACCCAGATTGAATTCCCAGCTCCTGGCTTCAGCCTGACCTAACCCTGGATGTTGCTGGCATTTGGAAAGTGAATCAGCAGACGGAAGATATCTCTCTTTCTCTCCCGCTGTGTGTGTGTGTGTGTGTGTGTGTCTTCCTTTCTCTCTGTCACTCTGGCTTTCAAATAAATATTTCTTTGAAAAAAAAAAAAACAACGCTGTGCAATATGTTTCTACAGAGCTAATAGAGATTTTGTCTGTGTCATAAAATAAGACATTCCTCTCTAATCTATAGAATAGGGCTCATATCTAAAAATATTTGCCAGGGGCCGGGGCTGTGGCACAGTGGGTTAAGCCATAGGCTACAATGCTGATATCTCATATAGGCACAAGTTCGGGTCCCAGCTGTTACTTCTGATCCAGATCCCTGCTAATGTGCCTGGGAAAGCAGTAGAAAATGGCCTAAGTCCTTGGGTTCCTGCACCCACATGGGAAACCTGGAAGAAGCTCCTGGCTCCTGGCTTCAGCTTGGCCCTGCCCTGGGTTGTTGTGGCCATTTTGGGAATGAACCAATGGATGGACAGGCTCGCTCTCTCTCTCTCTCTCTCTCTCTCTCATAAATCTAAAAAATATTTGCCAATCAAGAAAATTTTACATTTAACCTAAAATGCTTACAGCCAAACCAAAGAACAAAACCTCTTACCATCAGCTTACACATTTTCAAGTAAGAAATAATAAGATGAATCTTCATTTTTATAGGAAGCTTTTATTTAATAAATATAAATTTCATAAGTACAACTTTTGGATTATAGTGGTTCTTCTACCCATACCTACCCTCCCACCCTAAAACCATCCCACCTCCTACTCCCTCTCCCATCCCATTCTTCATTAAGATTCATTTTCAATTATCTTTATATACAGAAGATCAACTCTATACTAAGTAATAATTTCAACAGTTTGTATGCACACAGACACACAAAATATAAAGTACTGTTTGAGGACTGGTTTTACCATTAATTCTTAAAAGTACAACACATTAAGAAGAGAAGTCCTACATGGGGAGCAAGTGCACAGTGACTCCTGTTGTTGATTTAACAACTGACACTCTTATTTATGATGTCAGTGATCACCCAAGGCTCTTGTCATGAGCTGCCAAGGCTATGGAAGTCTCTTGAGTCCACAAATTCCGAAATTATTTAGACAAGGCCATAGTCGAAGTGGAAGTTCTCTCCTCCCTTCAGAGAAAGGTACCTCCTTCTTCAATGGCCCCTTCTTTCCACTAGAATCTCACTCACAGAGATCTTTCATGTAGGTCATTTTTTGCCACAGTGTCTTGGCTTTCCATGCCTGAAATGCTCTCATGGGCTTTTTAGCCAGATCCGAATGCCTTTTAGGGTTGATTCTGAGGCCAGAGTACTATTTAGGGCATCTGTCATTCTGAGTCTATTGTGTGGCCTGCTTCCCATGTTGGATCATTCTCTCCCTTTTAATTCTATCTATTATTATTAGCAAACACTTGGCCTTATTTATGTGATTCCTTTGACACTTAATCCTATCTTTATGGTCAGTTATGAACTTAAACTGATCACTTTAACTAGTAAGATGCCATTGGTACCTGCCAACTTAATGGGATTTGGAGTCCCATGGCAAGTGTTTAACTTTACCATTAGAACCTTCATTTTTTAAAATTTATTTGACAGGTAGAGTTAGTGAAAGAGAGAGACAGAGAGAAAGGTCTTCCTTCCATTGGTTCACCCCCCAAATGGCCACTACGGCCAGAACTATGCCGATCCGAAGCCAAGAGCCAGGTGCTTCTTCCTGGTTCCCCATGCGGGTGCAGGGCCAAAGCACTTAGGCCATCCTCTACTGCCCTTCCGGGCCACAACAGAGAGCTGGACTGGAAGAGGAGCAACCGGGACTAGAACCTGGTGCCCATATGGAATGCCGGTGCTGCAGGCAGAGGATTAACCAAGTGATCCACGGCACTGGCTCCAGAATCTTCTTTTTAAAACAAAAAATTATTTATTTATTTGAAAGTCAGAGTTAGAGAGGGAGAGAGGAAGGGAGGAAGGGAGGGAGAGCGAGCAAGAGAGAATATGAATCTTCCATCTGCTGATTCACTGCCCACATGGCTGCAACAGCCAGGGCTGGGCCAGGCTGAAACCAAGAGCCAAGAAATTAATCTAGGTCTCCCACATGGGTTCAAGGCCCCAGAGATTTGGGCCATCATCCACTGCTTTCACAGGAGAATTAGCAGGGAGCTGGATTGGAAGTGGAGCAGCCAGGACTTGAACCCATATAGGATGCTGGTATCATAGGGGCAGTTTTACCTGCTACACTACAATGCTAACCACTTGATTTTTTACATTAACTCTCGCAATATCACAGCGAAAAGGTCATTGTGTTTTATCATCCAGTGCATATTGCAATATGTAGAACATGAAGCTAACTCAGTTTTTTTGGGGGGAGTGGAGTTCTGAGATTTGACCCTATTGTAGCACTGACTGTGTGAAACTGAGGGATAAAACATATGCTGTCCTTTCAGAAGTTAGTAAAATTGCCTAGAGCAAACAAATAAGAATACCCTATTTTATCCTGCTCCCTAATTCCCAATGATGCCTCTTACAATCATCTCTTAAATATGTGATTGGTAGTGGCAATAAAATTGAGATACAGAGACTCTAATACTCTTACCCACATGTGACATTTTTGTGGCTAATATTTGAATAAATATACTTACAGCCTATTGAACTTCAGTAACGCTGCATCAATCATGTCAGCTAGTGGCAGGTTAAATAAGCAATAAGAAGCTTGCACAATCACCCTAGGAAAAAAGTTAAAATTCTATACAGATGAAAATTCTACAATTAGGAGGCATAGATTTTGCTAAGGAAAAAAAACAGCAAACAAAAATTGACATCTGGTTTGTAAGTAAGAAAAATGAAAAGTAGAGGGGCCTGCATTATAGCACAACAAGTAAAACATCCCACATGAGGCTGGCTCAAGTCCTAGCTGTTCTACCTGAGATTCAGTTTCCTGCTAATAAGTCTGGGAAAGTAGCAGAAGATGGCCCAGGTGCCTGGGCTCCTGCCACACAAGTGGGAGACCTGGATGGAGCTCCTGGCCCCTGGTTTCAGCCTGGCCCAACTTCAGCCTGGTCCAGCTCCAGCCACTGTGGTCAGGAATGAATCAGTGTATAGAGCAGCTTTCTCTCTCTCTCTCTCTCTCTTTCTCTCTCTCTCTCTCTACACCCCCCACCCCCCCGCTATCCCTGTAACTCTGCTTTCAAATAAACAAATCTTTTTTTAAAAACGCTATGTTAGCTATGTACTTCTATCCTCCAAATATATATCTATGGATCTATAATTCACTTTTCTAAAAAATTTATTTATTTGAAAGGCAGAGATACAGAGAGAGAGACAGAGACAGAGATCTTCCATCTGCTGGTTCATTCCTCAAACAGCTGCAATGACCAGGGCTGAGACAGTCTGGAGCCAGGAGCCAGGAGCTTCTTTTGGGTTTCCTATGCGGGTGCAGGGACCAAGGACTTGGGCCATCCTCTGCTGCTTTTCCAGGCACAGTAGTAGAGAGCTGGATCAGAAGTGGAGCAGCCAGACTTCAAACTGGCATCCATATGGGATGCCTGTGCTGCAGGCGGTGGGCTTAACAGGCTGCACCACAGCACCAGCCCTTAACTAAAAAAAAAAAAAAAAAACTGATTTATTTGAGAAGCAGAAACAGTGAGAGACAGAACTCTCATTCCCTGATTTATTCTCTCAATGTCAATACAGCGAGGGGGAGACCAAGGTGGAGCCATGAGTCAAGAACTCAATCCATGTCTCCTAACATGGGTAACAGGAACCCAATTACTTGAGCCACCACCTGCTGCCTCCCCAAGTCTGCAAGAGCAGGAAGCTGGAGTCAGGAGCCAGAGGAAGCGCTGAACCCTGGTATTCCAACGTGAGATGCAGGCATCCAACCCACGAGGCCAAATGCCTGCCTCTGGACTAGCATTTATTAGTTCATGTACTTGAAGCGTGTTTTCTGAGGACCAACTATTTGCAAAAACTGCAGTAGTATTGGGCCAAAGTGAATACAGACTAGCTCCTGTTCCTAAACTCAATCTGGCGGTGGTCACAGACCGTCATAGGCAGAGGAACAAGCACACAGCAGAGACAACCATAGGACGTTAGGGTCGTATAGAAAGGCACCTGGTCCAGAGAGGGAACCAAGGAAAACTTCCTAGAGAAGCATACACCTGGGCTGCAGCCTAAAGGAACATGGGGGAACCAGGGAGGCAGGGGGGAAGAGCTGTGCAGCTACAGGAAACTGAACCAGGAAGTGCAAAGTGTTTCATACAGCAGAGGGTATGGTGTAAGTGGAGGACTAACAGGAAGTGGGGATGAAGAGGTTTAAAGAGTCTATGTAACAAAGAACATCACACATCATCATTTGCATATAACTGGAGGGCTGTAAGAAACCACTTAAAATTGTCAAAGGAATGGCAAGTGCCTCTAAAAGGAAGATGGGAGGAGACAGAGGGACTGGAGACCCAAGACACAGGGACTATAGAGGAAGCTGCTTAGCAGGCAAGAGATGATGAGGACCTGGGCAGAGGAGTGGCCACGAAAACAGTCAAGGGTTGGGGTCAGGGCCTATCTGGGAGATGAAACTGCTACCAATTGGTGGTGTGTTGGCTATAGGTGTGGAGAGAAGGCAAAGAATTTCTCACTCCCTAACCTGTGCAACCAGATAGAGGGCAGAGCCATTAAAATGGGCAACAAACTCAAAAGAGCAGATCCCCCATGGGGAAAGACCCTTGGTTTGGACGTGTTGCCAGGGTGGGATCACGGGGGAGGAGAGGTTACAGAAATGGGAGGAAGAATCAAAAGAGAAACAGAAGCTCAGCCTCTTTTACACCTGGCAGCAGCATTGACTAAATATCACATCTGAATAGGTTTAAGAACAACTTGTGCCAGGCATTTGGCCTAGCAGTCAATCCCCATCCCAGGAGTGCCTGGGTTTGAGACCTGATTCACCGCCAATTCCAGCTTCCTGCTAATGCGTTCTGAGAGGCAGCAGTGATGGCTCAAGTAATTGGGTCTCTGTTACACATGAGAGAACTGGATTAAGTTCCCAGCCCTTTTGGGAAGTAAACTAGCAGATGGGAGCTCTCTCTGACTTTCAAATAAAAGAAAAAATTAGCTTCACTACAAAATGAAGGGTATGAATTCCCTAGGACTGCACGTGGTTCACATGCAGACAGTCGGGCAGAGAGGAGCAATGACCTTACCTGGAAAGGAGCATCAGACTCAGTTCAGATGAGAGGCGTTTTACCGGCTGAAAAGGTGAATGGCAAGACCTAGTATAATTTGGAGATGAAAATTGACCTTTACTTACATGATAAAAGTGAGGTAAAGAGCCAAGCAGTAATAGTATTCCTGTCCCAGAAGTAACATGACAATGGAAGCTGTTCCTTCTAGGTAGAAAGAAATGAGGATGATCTTATAGTAACCAAATGTCTTCAGCCAGGAATGACCCATAAGTACCAGGCACTGAAATGGAAATGATTGACAGGTTAGTTAAGAAGGAACAAACACGTGATGTCTATTTACTCGCACTGATGACAAAACAAACATTCTCAGTACTAAACAAATTTGCTCCTGAATTATAGCATCAGTTGAAACACATACCCCATCTTGGTTAGAGATGCCATTTCCCATATGTATCAAACAATTGATACTAATAGTAGAAGATAACAAACACCATTATTTCCTATAAAACCAATGAACAAATCTGACAATCATTTCCTAATTATTTCTTCTTCACACTAATATGAAAGAGATTTTAGTAAAACTGACCATATTATAAGAATTTCATTATTTAGAAAGAATATTGGGGCTGGTGCTGTGGCATAGTAGGCTAGTCCTCTAACTGCAGCATCCCATATGGGCGTCAGTTCATTTCCCGGATGCTTCTCTTCTGATCCAGCACTCTGCTGATGGCCTAGGAGAACAGTAGAGGATGGCCCAAGTGCTTGGGCCCCTGAACCAATGGGGCCCAGAGAGAGAGACCCAGACATGAGATACCCAGAAGACACTTCTGTCTCCTGGCCTCAGATCAGATCAGCTCCAGCTGTTGCAGCCATTTGGGGAGTGAACCAGTGGATGGAAGACCTTTCTCTGTCTGTAACTCTCTCTCTCAAATAAATAAATAAAATCTTTTAAAAATAAATACATAGGGCCGGCGCCGTGGCTCACTAGGCTAATCCTCCGCTTTGCGGCACCGGCACACCAGCAGCGGCGGCCATTGGAGGGTGAACCAACAGCAAAGGAAGACCTTTCTCTCTGTCTCTCTCTCTCACTGTCCACTCTGCCTGTCAAAAAAAATTAAAAAAATAAAAATAAATACATAAATAAAAAAGAAAACAACATTGCTTTTTGGAAGTCAAATTTGAAAGAAATCCAAATTTTAAAACTTGGAGTTGCCGGCGCCGCGGCTCAATAGACTAATCCTCCGCCTTGCGGCGCCAGCACACTGGGTTCTAGTCCCGGTCGGGGCACTGGATTCTGTCCCGGTTGCCCCTCTTCCAGGCCAGCTCTCTGCTGTGGCCCGGGAGTGCAGTGGAGGATGGCCCAGGTCCTTGGGCCCTGCACCCGCATGGGAGACCAGGAGAGGCGCCTGGCTCCTGGCTTCACTGCACTGGCCGCAGCACTCCAGCTGTGGCGGTCATTGGAGGGTGAACCAACGGCAAAGGAAGACCTTTCTCTCTGTCTCTCTCTCTCACTGTCCACTCTGCCTGTCAAAAAATAAAAAAATAAAAATAAAAAATAAAAAACTTGGAGTTAAAGCCCCAAATTTTCCTAGCACACAGTAGATGGAACAAATATTTGTTGAATAAATAAATTGAAATTCCACAAGTCTTCTTCTGTCATTTAAGTCTAAAATGTACTTTTTACTCTAAAATCAAGCTCCAGAGGTAAGCAATAGTTTACAATTCTGTCTACATTTTTGCAAACTATATATCCTAACCTTATATATTTTCATAATTTTAATAGATTCATGTGGAGATATAGATTTTTTAAAAATTTCTTGCTACCAATAGAAAGATTCATTGTTCTAGATGGAAAGTGCTAAACATACACGTGCACATTAACCAAGATTACAAGATACTCTTTGTTTGCAATTTAAAAAGCACATTGTTTAGCTCTGAAAAGTTTTCACTAGCCAAATATATGTACATTACATTTAGAAGGCAATTTTGAATGATGTGAGTAAAATATAAATAGTATTTAATAGAGTCACCCCTACCTCAGCTGACTTTTTGGCTGATTTTTGTACTTTCAAGGAACAAAGCTCATTTTCTGGATACTAAAAACAAGGGTGCAGTGATTGATATGATCCAAGGCATTTCTCAGAGTTCTGCAAGAGAAACTATTTGAAACACCCCAGCAGCAGTGGCACTATGGCTAAAGCTGCTGCCTGTGGTGCCAGCATTCCATAGAAGTGCCAGTTCAAGTCCTGGCTGCTCCACTTCTGATCCAGGTCCCTGCTAATGCACCTGGGAAAGCAGAGGAAGATGGCCCAAGTGCTTGGGTCCCTGACACCCACATGGGAGACCCAGATGGAGTTTTAGGCTCTTGGCTGTGGCTTGGCCAGCCCTGACCATTACAGCCATTTGGGGGAGTGAACCAGCTGATGGGAGTGCTCACTCATGCTTGCTCTCTCTCACTCTATCACTCTGCCTTTCAATGAATCTTAAAACACCTCCGCAATCCAATTTATAAAGCAATACATTATAAAGCAATACACTTCCACATACGGAAAGAAAGTTGAATCCCAGCTTTGCAACTTTTTCCAGCTACATGTTCACAGACAATTAAGTTACTTTCCCTAAGAGGCATTTCCTTGTCCTGCTCCCACCACACTCCACATACAGGGCACTCAATCACTGTTGGTTATGATTGTGTTCACTATTTAGAAAGACAGAAGCCAATGATGAGTAGTTTTATGAAAATCAGAAAAGAAAAAAGAAGACTGCCTTTTCTTTTACTAAAAGAAAGACTTCTACAAACTGAGGGTTTTGCCTTCTCATTCATGTTTACCGAGTAGGAGTCTGAACAATGTGTCCCAACATTGTGATAGCAAACCTATGCCAATGATGCTTAAATCAAAACAGAGCCATGAAGGCAGTGCTGTGCTTGCAGCGGATGGCTAATCCCCATCTGCTGGTTGCTCATAATAATAAGAGCTAACAGACCTACAGCGTCTATTTTGTGCCAGGAAACATTTCAAGTACTTTCTGTGTCTTAATTCATTTAACCCTCATAATAATTCCATTAGGTAGGTGCTATTTTTATTCTGATTTAACAAATGAAAAAAGTGAGACACACAGAGTTAGAGAAATGTACCTAGTGCCACGCAGCTGGTAAGTGGGGAGCCAGACTTCTCCTGGGCAGACTCCAGATGCAAACCCGATTATCACTTGGCCTCTCTGAGAGCAGTGGGATGTGGAAGAGTGGCAGATCTATTAAGAGTTCTTAGAAAGAAAGAACTTGTTCATTCTTTTCTCTTTTATTTAGTCAACTCCCCAAAAAGAATGCCACTGAGAATTTGGCTTCGGAAAATGAAAATAGTGTTTACCCTTCAACGCTATATCCACTGGCTAAAGTGATATAGTCAAACACAGAACAAAACCAACAGATTCCAGCAAGCTGTCATTTTTTAAACCACAATAACTTTTGCAAGTGTTATTTCTCTATAAATTAAGAATAAATTTAAAGTAACTTTGGGTTTCCATTTTACACAAGTTGACTATCCCTTATCCAAATTCTTGGGACCAGAAATGTTTCAGACGGTAGATTTAATTGAATTTTGGAATATTTACCTAGACTTTACAGATTGAACATTCTTCATTTGAAATCTGAATTACACCAAAATTTAGGACCTTTTAAGAATGTGTTAACAGGGGCCAGCACTATGGCATAATAGGTTAAGCATCTGCCTGCAGCACTTGCATCCCATATGGGCACCAGTTCAAGTCCCAGCTGCACCGCTTATGATCCAGCTCCCTGCTGATGGCCTGGGAAAGAAATAGAAGATGTCCCAAGTGCTTGGGCCCCTGCACCCATGTGGGAAACCTAGAAGAAGCTCCTGTCTCCTGGCTTCAGATCAGCTCAGATGTGTTGAGGCCATTTAGGGAGTGAACCAGCAGATGGAAGACCTTTCTCTCTGTCTCTCCCTCTCTCTGTAACTCTACCTCACAAGTAAATAAATAAATCTTAAAAAAAAATCTGTCAAAAAGTTTAGGATTGGCTAGAGCTGCACCAATCTGAAGCTAGTAGCCAGGAGGACTTGAAATGGCACCCATATGGGATACCAGCACCGCAGACGGAGGCTTAGCCTACTGTGCCACAGTGCTGGTCCCTAAGGTAGTTTTATATGTGACGTGAAAATGTCCTTATAATAGGGGCCAGCGTGTGGCACAGTGGGGTTAAGCCATGGCCTGCAAGGCCAACATCCCAAATGAGTGCAGGTTCAAGTCCTAGCTGCTCCACTTCCAATGCAGCTCCCTGCTAATGTGCCTGGGAAAGCAGCCAAAGATGGCCCAAGTGCTTGGGTCCCGCCCCTGAAACCTGTTTAGGAGACCCAGATGAAATTCCTGGCTCCTGGTTTTGGCCTGGGTCAGCCCTGGCTATTGTGGCCATTTGGGGAGTGAACCAGCAGATGGAAGATCTCTTTCCCTCTCACTATCTCTGTCTCTCCCTCTCTGTAACTCTGCTTTTCAAATACATAAATCTTTTTTTAAAATAAAAAAATTTACATAATAATTAAAAACTCAATATTAAAAAGGATATAAAAGATTCATAGGTGACGTCACTGTATTTCAAAAATTATAGGAGTCATTTTGTTGTTAAAACCTCATTAAGTGAAATATAAAGAGAATAAGAAATTAGTAGTAGCTTTGATTTTAAGTGATTTGGTAGGGTATGGGATTTTTCAACAAATAAATATGATTCCATATTAAAAATAAATAAAAAATGAAGTTATGGCACTTGTAAGTATAACAGCCCCTCACTGATCAGAATTCAACTACTTGGTGATCTCTACATGGTTAGAAACTAAAAACAATGAAAAAAAAAAACTATAGTAATCACCAAAACAATGACCAAATCTATATACTTAATAAAAGTCATGTAATTTAATCATAAAAGCCTCTTAGGTCTTAATTAAATGTCTATCTAAATGCTGGAGACTACATTTAACAAAAGAAGGAGGAAACTACAAAACGTTATTAAAGGGGTTGGTGCTGGCCGGCACTGCGGCTCACTAGGCTACTCCTCCACCTGCGGCGCCGGTACTCTGGGTTCTAGTCCTGGTTGGGGCGCCGGATTCTGTGCTGGTTGCTGCTCTTCCAGTCCAGCTCTCTGCTGTGGCCCGGGAGTGCAGTGGAGGATGGCCCAAGTGCTTGGGCCCTGCACCCGCATGGGAGACCAGGAGGAAGCACCTGGCTCCTGGCTTCGGCTCAGCTGCTTCACTTCCAATCTAGCTCTCTGCGATGGCCTAGGAAAGCAGCAGATGTGGCCCAAGTCCTTGGGCCCCTGCACGTGCATGGGAGACCCAGAAGAAGCTCCTGGTTCTTGGCTTTGGATCGGCCTAACTCCAGCCGTCATGGCCTTTTGGGGAGTAAACCAGTGGATGGAAGGCCTCTCTCTCTCTCTCTCTCCCTCTGCCTCTCTGTAACTTTGCCTTTCAAATAAATTAATAATTTTTTTTTTTGACAGGCAGAGTGGACAGTGAGAGAGAGAGAGAGAGACAGAGAGAAAGGTCTTCCTTTGCTGTTGGTTCACCCTCCAATGGCCGCCGTGGCTGGCGCGCTGCGCTGATCTGATGGCAGGAGCCAGGTACTTCACCTGGTCTCCCATGGGGTGCAGGGCCCAAGCACCTGGGCCATCCTCCACTGCACTCCCTGGCCACAGCAGAGAGCTGGCCTGGAAGAGGGGCAACCGGGACAGAATCCGGTGCCCTGACTGGGACTAGAACCCGGTGTGCCGGCACTGCAAGGCAGAGGATTAGCCTAGTGAGCCGCGGCGCCAACCTAATAAATATTTTTTAAAAGTTATTAGAAGAAATGTTAAAACATCCAACTAGAGGAGAAACATCCCATGTTCCTGGATTAGAAGGCTTAACATCATTAAGACGGCAATAAATACAGATTCAATGCATTCAATGTATCACCTGACTTCTTTGTAGACATTGACAAATTGGCTATAAAATTCATTTGGATTTGCAATGGACACAGAGTAGCCTAAACAGTCTTGAAGTAGAAGGACTCACACCTGCCAATTTCATAAAAAAAAAAAAAAAATTAAAGGACAACTCAACAGAATAGGAAAAAATTTTCACAAATAACACACCTGATTCTAGATCTCCAAAAATATATTAAGATCTATTATAACTCAATAACAAAAAAAGTCTAATTAAAAATTTTGCAAATGAGCTGTATAGACATCCTTCCAAAGAGCATGTACAAATGGCCAATAGCATATCAACATCATTAACCATCAGGGAAATGGAAATCAAAACCACAATGAGATGTCATGCACACAAACTAGGGTGGTTTTAATAAGAAAGACAGATAACATTGCTGGAGAAACTGGAACCTTTGTATACTACTGGTAGAAATATAAAATAGTAGAGCCTCATTGGAAAAACTGTCAGAATCTCAAAATGTGACACAGAGTTACCATAGGACATAGCTATTCCACTTCCACATATATACCCCCCTAAAATGCAAATATGTCTGTGCAAAAACTTACACATTAATGTTCATGGCAGCACTAGTCCTTCATAACCTAAACCTGGAAACAACCCGAGTGCCCATCAGCTGATGAATGCATATGCAAAATGTGATCTATCCATATTCAGCAGAGTACTATCCAGTCGTACAAAGGAATGAAGTACTCATCCATGCCACAACATGGAGGAGCCTTAAAAACATGCTAAGCGAAAGAAGTCAGCCACAAAATATCATATATAATTCCATTTGTATGAAAGTCTAGACTAGGCAAATCCATAGAAGTAGAAAGTACATTATGAACATGAACAAGTACATGATTTAAAGTGAGAAGACAATATAGAGCCTAGAATCTGAGAGTAAACAAAAAACACAGAAACTCCTAGACCTTCCCATCTGGGTCACTGAACCTAGGAGCAAACAACTTGACAAGCATTGGATTCTGGGGGGACAGCATCATGAACACACAGCACCTGAAAACATACTGATGAACAGAAAATGAACTCGTATTTGGTATCTGCCAAATAAATGATGTCAACACAGACATTTCAGAGACAGAACGCGAAAGAGCACAGTTCTAAAAAACAGGTGACGCCTGCACATCTCCCTTTTCTTTCCTGTAAGGAAAAGAAGTTCTTCCTTCCAGGTGATTATGAGGATCACGTGAGGCGATGTGTACTCTGCACTTGGCATAGGCCGTGACACTTGGTAAGCACTCCCTGTCTGCGAATTGTCAGTACTATGACATCTACTGGAAGCAGAAGACCTGGACTTAATAGCAAAAAGGCAAGTTCTATCCTACCTAACTTTGCTCAAGAAACTGTGTCAACACTTAAAACATTTTAGAACTATTTATATTCCAAATGCTTTATATATTTTTTGAAAGTCAGTAAACAGTAAAAACAAATATGTCAAGAATACCTTATTCCCTTAAGAGTATAGACAACAGGATTTTTCTTATTATTTCATTGTGAAAATAGAAAAAAAAAACCGATATGATAGGCTAGGTTAACTCCTATGTTATATTTAGGTTAAGGGGATTAAAATGAGGGTACTTCAGAAAGTTCACGGAAAATGGAAAATGATAAATTTGTTTCAGTCCAAAAATGTTTTGGAATTCATGCACATGAGAGGTCTTGGACAAGTTCATGGAAAGGCACATTGTGAAAAAACTGCATGGATTTCAAAAAAGAAACGTACCTTTTAATTCCATTTTCCATGGACTTTTGAAGTACCCTCATCTTCAGTCTTCCAAATGTTATAATAAACATCAGACCAGAATATTTTTTGAAGGAGGACATGCCTTCTACAATAATGGTCATGACCATGGAATTTTAATACCACTCTGGAATTCCAGGACTTGGGCTTTTGGCCAAGAGTTTTGGAACCTGACTCTAAGAATTCTTGACCAAATAACTTCTTCTAAGTTAACGGTCACAGAAATCTTAAATATCCTAATAAAGCAAAAAGTACATGCTTATAGGAACTGTTTATTTTCTTCCAAAGCTCTGCTGAGGTTTGGAAGAGAAAGCTCAGAGGAATAAAATTCTAAAGATTTTTGTTTAAAATACCACGTTGCTAGGTTCTCATTGGACTCCCTTTACTTTTTTCCTTTCGTCTCTCTCTTTCCCACTATGTTTCTGTTGAACCTTGCATAATGTCTGGGGCTGTGAATCTTTTGGGTCTCTTAATAAATGGCTGCAATTTGCTCAAACTTCTGAAATAATCAGGTGTTCTAATTTCTTCCACCTGTTAGGAATCAAATCTTTGATCCCCATTGGAGAATACACAAGGAGTAATCACATACCTGTGGGCAAATAAAGCCTGCCCCATACATGATGCTCCTTCCGGAGGAAGAAAGAATATCCCTGGGAATGAGATTATCCATAAAGATCATCATGAAGTTGTGCAGGAAGGTTAAATGAAAGATTTGGAGGAAATTCACGATCAGAAAAAGGTAAAAGTTCTTCTGGGACAAGATCTGTCTCAGTACGATGACCGAGGTCCTAGAATGATCCTCTTCACTTCCCAAAAGGACATTTTCCTCCAGGCTTCTATTCCATTCGAACTGTTTCATGTGGTTCTTGCCAGCGTGAACACTGGCAGCAGCAAGAAAGGCAATGATAACAGCAACAGCCTGAAAATTGGACAAACTTTCTATGTTATTAGAGATGAGGCCACAGAAAAGGATACTGGTAGATCCTATTAGTGATACCATGTGGCTAATTTTAATAAGACGAAGCCTACTTTCATGTCTAGGGAAAGTCTCTACAAACCGTCTATGCTGGACTTGCTGAATACGTGAAAGTGTGCTCTCAAAGGCACATAATGATACCATCAGATGAATTCCACTAAGCCAGTCACCTTCTTGATAGTCTTTCCAAGGGAACCAAGGAAGCAGGAAGGCCATTGCATACAAAGGGCCACCAAACAAGGCGGAAAGATGATGGCTTGCACCACAATCAGCCTTAAAGTTGTCGCAAAAATACACAATGAGGTCATTAAGAATATTCCAGATCATCAAAATTATCTAGGGAGAAAAAATACGTAAGATTATTTTACTGTAGTAGTATAAGCTATTACATTCAGTGTAAGATGAAAATGACCCCTGAAATTTTTTTTCACTGATGTGAAATTATCAAAGCTGGTCAATAAAAAAGCTCTAGTTCCAGAACAAATATTAATAACAAATATTAATAACAGCCAATATGAGGGTTTTTCAAAATGTTTGTGGAAAAACAGAATTGTTCACTTTGCTGAAAAAAAAACAAACATAGAATTCTATGTATAGGTTCTTCATAATAGGAGTTTTCCATGAGCCTTTTGAAGACCTCTCTCATATCATGGATTTCAAATATTTTTGCACCAAAATAAACTTATTTTTAAATTCCATTTCCCACAAACTTTGTGAAGTTCCATTGTACACATGTGCTTTGTGTTCAGACATCACGTAAGTATTTACATGTATTATTTTTGCTAAATCCTTAAAAACAACTCTGTGAGGTAGGTGTTTAGCCTAGGAAACAATTCCTGGGTTAGGACACCACTTATCAGAGTTCCTGGACTTGATACCTGGCTACAGCTTCTGACTTCAGCTTCCTGTTAATAAAAGACTCTAGGAGGCAATGGTGATGTCTCAAATATTTGGGTTCCTGCACCCATGTAGGAGACCTAGATTAAGTTCCCATCCTCAGCTCAGACCCAGCCTAGTCCTGGCTGTTGCAGACATTTGGGAAGTAAATTAGCCAGTGTAAGCTCTGTTTTTCAAATTAACAAATTTTTAAAAATTTAAATGATAATATTGTTCCACATAAGTTAATTTTCTAGGTAACCAAAGTTTACCCTTTACCCTCTAAAGTTTTTATGTGTTAAGTGATAATTGTGTCAACAAGTCTCTCTTTGGACCTCACACAGAATTGTTAGGTAGGAAGTTAGGTATGAGCTTATGTGTGTATGACAAAGGCCTAAAGAGAAGACATCTATGTCTAGCATATGCATCTACATCTCAAAGTCATCCCAATAATGTTTCCAGGGCAGCCTGGCATTCACATCCTGCCCTGCCCCCTTCTACCTGATAACCTGCCAGGTGGGGGTCCCCGCCCTTCTGCCTGACAAATCTTCCACAATCTCCCAGATGCAGCCCAGTATCTGCATTTCAAACACCCTGCTCCGGATCCCCATTCTCTAGGGGGTCCTGCTCACCCTTCCTCTGAACCCAGGATGGCGCCAGCTAGGCTTCCTCCTGTCTGATACCTTCAAGGGAAAACTCAGATAGGAGCTTCTTAATATTTACAGCCATAAAATCCTTTGTTTCAGGAGGAAATGTATGAAGACAGAGACGCATCTCCTTAAAAACCCCTTGCCTCAACCAGACTGTGTGCTCAGCCCTCTCTGCTGAGCCGCCCACCTGGTCTGGCCAGGTGTAATCTCTCCACTCAACCATGTAACCTCACTCCTCCTTCCTGTCCCCTCCCCCACCCCAGTCTGAGCAACTGCACTCTATCTCAGGTCCTGTCTGGAGAGGTGCCCATCCGTTCTTGTGGATGTCCCTACCCTAATAAACTTTGCTACTTTTTACTTTCCATACTCTGTCTCACGCCTGAATTCTTTCTTGTATGAAGACAAGAACCCTGCATTTCTCCAGTAACAGAATCTTGGACATGGGTCGTTTGTCTTGGGAACTCTCACAGCCGGATGAAGAATCAGCTCTGGCAAATCACAATAATGTATGGCTATAAGGAAGGAGAAGTTCTGTCTTGTCTGAAAGGAAAATAAAGATTCCATCTCACCTGGGCTTGACAAAAGGCCACTTCTGAAATCTTGTACAGATGTAAAAAAAGTTTCACATAGTAGAAATTGAAGACAGAATTTAGTAGGTCAGTCCCTAAAGTGATCGTAGAGTATGCCCAAGCAACAGATTTCATATTTAAAAATATCATTTTTCATGCAGAGGAAATCTTCTTCCCTTTGTGAAAAAAAATTAAAATTCAGAATTTGCATACAGTAATTGATGGATGGCAAAATTCCACTGGATACTAGTTTAGTTAAATAAGAATCCAAAGCTACTAGCTCTGAATGTATCACCAGGCTTAACACTATTTACTCATTTGTTCACTCAACACTTTTTAAGATGTTGCCAAGAACTCTAATTTGCAGGAGAATGTGACTCTTATCTTTTTGGTATTGCTTGTAACTTACAAAGTGGGATGTATCCACAAGTTTGGGCATGCTTAACTAGCAGTTGGGAGATATGTTTACACATCATTGTCCTTCTTGAAGGAGGCTGCAACAGAAAAAGAACAAAAGAACAATGAATTGACAATTTTTGCTAAAGTCAGACCGGAAGTAAGGCCCTCCTCGAAGCAAGAAACTGTCCAACAGGACAGACCTGCATCTGAAGACTTCTTCTTGACCTCCTGATAAGACTATTTAGCTGTGACTCAAAAGACATATGCAATGGTATTGGTACAGAAACAGATGGATAGACCAATGGAACAGAATAGAAACACCAGAAATCAACCCAAACATCTACAGCCAACTTATATTTGATCAAAGATCTAAAGCCAATTCCTGGAGCAAGGACAGTCTATTCAGTAAATGGTGCTGGGAAAACTGGATTTCCATGTGCAGAAGCATGAAGCAAGACCCATACCTTACACCTTACACAAAAATCCACTCAACATGGAGTAAAGACCTAAAATCTACGACCCAACACCATCAAATTATTAGAGAGCATTGGAGAAACCCTGCAAGATATTGGCACCGGCAAAGACTTCTTGGAAAAGACCCCGGTGGCACAGGCAGTCAAAGCCAAATTAACTATTAGGACTGCATCAAATTGAGAAGTTTCTGTACTGCAAAAGAAACAGTCAGGAAAGTAAAGAGGCAACCAAAAGAATGGGAAAAATATTTGCAAACTATGCAACAGAGAAAGGATTAATAGCCAGAATCTACAAAGAGATCAAGAAACTCCACAACAACAAAACAAACAACCCACTTAAGAGTTGGGCCAAGGACCTCAATAGACATTTTTCAAAAGAGGAAATCCAAATGGCCAACAGACACATGAAAAAATGTTCAAGATCACAAGCAATCAGGGAAATGCAAATCAAAACCACAATGAGGTTTCACCTCACCCCGGTTAGAATGGCTCACATACAGAAATCTACCAATAACAGATGCTGGCGAGGATGTGGGGGAAAAGGGACACTAACCCACTGGTGGTGGGAATGCAAACTGGTTAAGCCACTATGGAAGACAGTTTGGAGATACTGCAGAAATCTGAATATAACCCTACCATACAACCCAGCCATCCCACTCCTTGGAATTTACCCAAAGGAAATTAAATTGGCAAATAAAAGCGCCATCTGCACCTTAATGTTTATTGCAGCTCAATTCACAATAGCTAAGACCTGGAATCAACCTAAATGCCCATCAACAGTAGACTGGATAAAGAAATTATGGGATATGTACTCTATAGAATACTATACAGCAGTCAAAAAAAATGAAATCCAGTCATTTGCAACAAAATGGAGGAATCTGGAAAAAAACATGCTGAGAAAAATAAGCCATAGGCCGGTGCCGCGGCTCACTAGGCTAATCCTCCGCCTTGCGGCGCCGGCACACCGGGTTCTAGTCCCAGTCGGGGCGCCGGATTCTGTCCCGGTTGCCCCTCTTCCAGGCCAGCTCTCTGCTGTGGCCAGGGAGTGCAGTGGAGGATGGCCCAAGTGCTTGGGCCCTGCACCCCATGGGAGACCAGGAGAAGCACCTGGCTCCTGGCTTCGGATCAGCACAGTGCACCGGCCGCAGCACACCAGCCGTGGCGGCCATTGGAGGGTGAACCAATGGCTAAAGGAAGACCTTTGTCTCTATCTCTCTCTCTCTCACTGTCCACTCTGCCTGTCAAAAAAAAAAAAAAAAGAAAAGAAAAGAAAAGAAAAATAAGCCAGTCCCAAAGGGACAAATATCATATGTTCTCCCTGATCAGTGACAACTAACCGAGCACCAAAAAGGAAACCTGTTGAAGTGAAATGGACACTATAAGAAATGGTGACTTGATCAGCCCTTGCCCTGACTGTTGATGAATAACAATATTTTATCCCTTTTAGTATTTTTTTTTGTTCTACTTAATACTATTGGTTGAACTCTGTAATTAATACACAATTATTATTAAGTGTTGAAACTTAAATGAAAAGTGATCACTGTTAAATATAAGAGTGGGAACAAGAGAGGGAAGAGATGTACAATTTGGGACACGCTCAAGCTGACTTGCCCCAAATAGTAGAGTTAGAAACATGCCAGGGGATTCCAATACAATCCCATCAAGGTGGCATGTACCAATGCCATCTCACTAGTCCAAGTGATCAATTTCTGTTCACAGTTGATCATAATGATAGGACTAAGAGTCAAAAGGATCACATAAACAAGACTAGTGTCTGCAAATACTAACTGATAGAATAAAAAAGGGAGAGAATGATCCAACATAGGAAGCGGGATACACAGCAGACTCATAGAATGGCAGATGTCCTAAACAGCACTCTGGCCTCAGAATCAGCCCTTAAGGCATTCGGATCTGGCTGAGAAGTCCATGAGAGTATTTCAGGCATGGAAAGCCAAGACACTGTGGCAAAAAAAAAACAAACAAAAAAACCTGAATGAAAGATCTCTGCAAGTGAGATCCCAGTGGAAAGAACAGTTCATCAAAGAAGGAGGTACCTTTCTCTGAAGGGAGAAGAGAACTTCCACTTCGACTATGGCCTTGTCTAAATAAGATTGGAGTTGGCGAATTCAAGAGGTTTCCATAGCCTTGGCAGCTCAAGACAAGAGCCTCAGGTGATTACTGACATCATAAATAAGAGTGCCAATTGTTAAATCAACAACAGGAGTCACTGTGCACTTACTCTCCATGTAGGATCTCTGTCCTTAATGTGTTGTACAATGTGAATTAATGCTATAACTAGTACTCAAACAGTACTTTACACTTTGTGTTTCTGTGTGGGTGCAAACTGTTGAAATCTTTACTTAATATACACTAAATTAATCTTCTGTATATAAAGATAATTGAAAATGAATCTTGATGTGAATGGGATAGAGAAGGAGTGGGAGATGGGATGGTTGTGGGTGGGAGGGAGGTTATGGGAGGAAGAAGCCGCTATAATCCAAAAGTCGTACTTTGGAAATTTATATTTATTAAATAAAAGTTTAAAAAAAGAAAAAATACATATGCAAGATGGATACAGAAATAACATATTCTGATCCTCACTCCATTAGATACCCCTCTTTTAAAAAAATATGGAGTTCTATGTATGTTTTTAGTAGATAGCCCACCATCTTACTCTTTGACTTACATGAGGATACTTCAAAAAGTTCATGAAAAATAGAATTAAAAGTTTTTCTTGGTGTAAAAAATTTTGAATCCATGCATATGGAAGGAGTCTTTAAAAAGTTTGTGGAAATGAATCATATGAAAAAACTATAGATTTCAAATATGTTTTGCACTAAGATAAAGTTATCTTTTAGTTCCATTTTCCACAAACTTTTTGAAGCCCCTTTGTAGAACTGAAAAGCAGGAAGTAGGCCTATGTTCATCTTCCTTTTAATCCTGATGATAGTTTTAAGAGACTACCATGGGGTCCAGTGCCGTGGCATCCTGTGGTGCCAGCATCCCATAACGACACTGCTTTGAGTCCCAACTGCTCCACTTCCAATCCAGCTCCTTGCTGATGGGCTGGGAAAGCAGTAGAAGATGGCTCATATGCTTGGGCCCCTGCACCCACATGGAAGAAGCTCCTGGCTCCTGGCTGTGGATCCACTCAGCTCTGGCTGCTGCGACCACTTGGGGAGTGAACTAGTAAATGGAAAACCCCTCTCTTTGTCTGTAACTCTGTGTCTCAGTAAATAACTTGAATATAAATGACCTGAATATTTGCCCAGGTCTCCACAGTCTCACTGAATCAGAAAAGAGACATATTCAGATAACTTGTGGCATGTTATTTACTGGAATAATCCTTGAGCCTCTGCTTTAACTTTGGAGACCCAGGAACAGAATTAAGTAGGAACTTGAGTCTGTATTGCCCAATTTCTTAGGAAAACAGAAGGCTAATTAGAAAGAAGTAGGCATTTGACACAAATGATTAAATTATTTAAGGCTCTAAGCTTCACTTTGCCCTGGGTAAACCCAAGGATGATTCTAATTTCATGGATGATGGGGCCCTAGAATTATCAAAGGGGGTTATTAAATCCATATGCATGCCAAACATTATCTGTATAGACTGAATGAAGAATATTTTCCCACATGTGTACTGATATTTGCAAAATGTAGATTCCGCTATGATGATTAGATACAAATCTGGGTTTGTTGTTGTTGCTATTATACAATTTCAATACTTAAAGAGTACAATTACTGCAGTAATGTGCGGTCATCCAACATTTCTGGCTTTATAAAGTAATCCTCAGATTTGAAAATGCTTGGAGCTACTGGTGAAGCACTCACTCTAGGGAGTTATTTTTGGCATAAGTGAGAACAAAGAATGAGGCTAAAGGTTGCTTTGTTACCAAGAGAACCAACAACAAGGGAATAAGTAGAACCAAAAGCCAAGATCCAAATTTAGCCTACCAAAACTTAGGCAATCTCCTTTTTCTCAATATTATTTTAGGCATGCCAAAATAAGAAACATGCCACACCTTGCTGATCTATCATTAAGTCAGAAGGCAGGTGTTTATAAACTTAGAATCTTTGTAAAGTGTTATAAACTCTGAGTTCAGATTTTTTCCAAGAACTTTTTTTTTCTGAGCTAAATAAATATAAATAAATCTTAAAAAAGAAGAATGAAGACCCCTCCCACAAGGACTTTTAGCACTGAAAGCTAACATTGCTTTTCTTTTCTTTTCTTTTCTTTCTTTCTTTTTTTTTTTTTTTTTTTTTTTTGACAGGCAGAGT